TAACTTACGACATTATAACAAAAAGTCCCTATAAAGGTCCACAAGTGGCAGAAAACTTCATAGTTCACAAAAGTAGTGAAAGTTTCATGCAGATTAAAAAATCCCAGACGCAAGTTTTTTTTTTAAAATAAAAAATAACAAGAAACGAACTAATTTTCAAAAATGAGTGTTAGAGTAAAACCATAAAATCTATTTTCCTACAGTAAAAACGTGTTTTTTTTTTCATTGTATCTAAATAAATTGATGATTGTTTTAAAAGTGTTTTCAGGATTTTTTTCTTGAGTGTTAAAGAATAATGTCCCACATGGGACTGATTATAAAGAGACGGTTTCCAGTAGAACACCGAAGTCAAGCATCACTGGCGGTAGTTAGTAAGCGGGTGGGTGATCAGCCAGCGTAGGGACCGAGGATGCACGGTATGGGTCATCGTTAAACTGTTCTACCGTAAAGTGCTTGATTTAGCGGAGTGCAAGTCGTCGGGCTTGCAAAGCAGAGGAGCCATATCCTCTGCAGAGGATCAAAAATGCGATGACATGTCTTCAGATTAGCCTCGGATTTTCCCAGACCCGTCGACAATAGCCCATTGCGTAGTTCTAGTGCCACTTAGATAAAGTACCTACTTATCTACCTACCTAACTCTTCCGAATGTATTTCTAGTAAAGTTTAAAGTAGTTAGTCATGCAATTGATAAAAATACCAAGCGAAACTTTGAATATTTAGGGTAAAATGCACACTTTTATTTCTTTGTTAATGAGTTTATAATAAGTATAATATAGCTGTTTACTGCGCCCATTGATTAATTCCATTGTACTTAGAATATGCGATGAAAAAATGTGCATTATTTCTTAAAGTTCTTTTTATAACATTAAGTTATTAAAATTTTTGTTCTTTAAATTTTTTTCTGTTCTTTAAATTTAATGATTAAATAGTGTAGACGGTATTTTAAGTTACGAAATAAGACGCAAAAATGAACTTTCTCGTTTAAATCTCCTTAATGATAATTTAAAATTTTACGTATTTTGCTCTATCTCTTAAACGCTTTCTGAAAATCATTAACTTTTTGAATAGAACTGTAAAATTGAATCAACACCGAACACAACTTGTTAACGGTTGAAAAGTTAGTGCAAATAGTAAAGTCTATTAAATTTTCAACCATTTTAACCTGCGCAATTATAAAAATCGAAATCAAAAATTTGAAAAGAATCGGTCTAATAGAATTAAAATTTAAAAAATACGACATCTTTGAAAACGTGAACTTTGCTAAAATGAAAATTAACATTAAAGGACTTTTCGAACTTTCATCCACTGTCCATATCATATTGTTGGAGCTATAGTTCCCAGATTGCAGTTATACCCCCTATTTTGAAGTATGCACATTCAAAGAAAATACGGATTTCGTATTTTAAACATCGCCTCCACTAATTAATAAGCATATTTATGATTATACCCTAATACCATTATGATCATATCTTAAGTGTAATTCGACCATTAGATCAAGAGTCATTAAGGTGTCCCGCTTTTTATTCTGCAATATTAAGGAAATTATAATTTGAAGCATATTATTAACACTTGTATTATCGAAAATGAGCTATTTATTAGAAAAATTTTGTAACATTACCTAATAATCCATCATTTCTTAGTTTTCCTTTTAAATTTCTCATAACTGAGTAATGTTATAAGTGAAACAAGTTCTTTTATTATTTACATAATTGTAAAATGTTGGGAACGTCTTTGAAAAATTGTGTTTTTCAGAGTTTCTCCTTTTCTTGATTAGGAGGAAAGTACCATTTAATATCTTAATGATAAAGACCTTATTTACGTATGATGCAAATTGATAGAGGAAATTTCAGAATTCAGCAGGAAGTTCCAACAGATCTCAGAAAATTTCAATCACTTTCAGCACGCTATGTCTGTTAAATTTATTCAGCACGCAATTTGAATTAAAATTAATTGTAGAAAGGCTTTCGTTTATAAAAAAAGCAATTTTTTTTGAAAAAAATCACCATGAAATCTGCAGTTTATCTTAGTTTTGACATATTTATGCATAATTCAATTTTAAATTGACATGGTTGTTTAAAAAATTTTCATGTATTTATAATTTTATGTTTAGTTTTTATTTATCAAGTTTTTATTGAACCTTCTACTTTTATCGAACCTTCTACTCTGAGTTGCTCACATGTAAAATTAAAAAAATTGTGTTCTTTTATGTGTTTTCAATTGTTTTAATGATGCGCTGTCATGAGAACAGCATCGTTACAGAATGCTAAAAAAAGCTGATGCATCATGAGAAGAAACGGAAGCTCGCTAAGAGTGTATATATATATATATATATATATATAATATGTGTGTGTGTGTGTGTGCACAGTCTCTCTTTGACTATCTTACAAATGCATCTGAAATTCTGCTNTTTTTTTTGTCGTATGCCTGTTTAGGCAGTGGTGGTGCGATTGTTCCTGTTTTTCAGTGGCGCCATCTACGGCCAGGAATTCGACTTCTGCCACGCCATTCACACAACCACAACCATTTTACCGGGTGGGTCACATTCACACACAAAGGAGAAAGGACATAGAACACACAGAGAGAGAAACAGACATCCATGTTTTGCCCAGGATTCGAACCCAGGACCTTTCTGATGCAAGGACAGTTCCCTGCCCCCTACGCAGTCCGGTCGGCTAAGAGTATAGTTTCAACTATGAAGTACAAATGTGTGCTGCGAACAAATATGCACACAAACTTAAGTTATGAAAAATTAAAGAAATGCTTTATTTAAACCGCACACGTATTTTTAAACAAAAATATGTTTATTATTATTTGTCTCAATGGCATTTTAATTTTAGGACGTTTAAAACTATAAAACTCTTATTTTACCTAAATTTCTTGTATCTAATTGAAACTTAAACTTTATGTATTTAATAATCAATAATACTTAATTTTTTTGCACTGTTTTTAATCAGAAATTTTAAATCTTTAGCTGCATATTATTATCTTTCAAATGAAAATATCCTAGCACTTAAAAAAATAATTCACACTAGTGAACTGCGCCCCCTTCTCGCTAACGCTCGCCAACCCCCGAAAATTGCTACGCAATCTTATATGGTTTGCTTCGCAAACTAAGCTCGCTTCGCTCGCTACTAACTTAGGTACATTACAAAAGTACAAAATTCTAAGAATTCAGAACAATTATTCAAATCCATATAACAACTTTTTTTAAAAAAAAAAAACATTACATCTTTTCAGTAAATACTACGTCATTAAAATAAATTTGAATTCAAATAAATGACGTGTAATTCGTTAAACCTATTAGAAATGTGCTATAGATTAAAATCTTAAGATAAAATTTCTAAAACTGATATCTCTTTAAAAAGGTTAAAATTTTGGCTATAATTAAGTCTATTAAAAATTGAAATAAGTGAATTGCAGTGGAAAAACCAGCATAAACAAATAAATTCTAGTAAAACAAATAAATTCGACTACTCTTTTCTGCCTAGCTTATGCTCTCTCTGGTTATTTCAGTTTCCGTTTTTAAAAGCGCTATATGTTGAGCCATCTAAGCTAGATTTGGCATGTGACATTTTTAGCGGCAATGATTGGTCAATTTTCTAGTGTTGCCATTCGCGGAGTTGTAATGAGGCCTTTTTTTTATCTCCGTGTAAGAGAAATATATATATAGATTTTTAATGGAAAGATGTCGAATACCAGCAGCAGTAGTAAACGTAAAATATTTTTGTGTACTTATAATTAATTCCAAGATCATATAAGCTTCGAATTCTGAGTTCTATTAAGCCTAAAGTGCTATTAAGTTCTATTAAGCCTAAATTAACGAGCATGATTGAAAACCTTGGATAGGGAGCACATTAGCAGCTTGATCTGCCCTTGGGTAGAGATTCCCTTTAAGGTTTCAATTCATTTACACTTAAACTAACAAATTTTTCCATCTAATGTGTATTCGTGGTTGAATAGTATCGCCTTCTATCTGAGAGGTACTGAGTTCAAATTCCAACTGGAACGTGTGAATTTTATCTCTAAGTTCATATTTGAAAAAGTTTGATGGCTATTTAACATATTTTATTTAATTTAAAAATATTTATTTTTTAATTTAATTTATGTTCTTTTGAAGTTTACAATTTTGAAAAAAAAAATTACATTTAATTTATTTAAAATTTTAATTAAAATAACTGATTTATTGATAAAAAAATAGAGGATTTCATTTAAAATTACAAGTTGCAAAATTATAAAAAAATCACAAAAGTATAATTTAAATTACAACTTTAAAAAAAAATGAACATATTTTAATTAAAAAAAATATCTATTACTTTTTTGTTTTTTAAATTTAAAATTTTTTTTAAAAATTAATATAAATAGAAAATAATAATTCATAATTTGAAATTTTTTTTTAATAAGTTATCAACTTTTTTAGAAAAGAAACATTTAGAGACAAAAAACTCAAACTCAAGGCGGAGATTTTAAGCCCGGATATTTATGGTAGAAGGCGGTCAGCCAAATAGGTACGCCACGAGTACACATCAGCTGGAGAGTTATTTTATCTTAAAATAATGAACTGAAACTTTAATGGGGCCTATTTTGCACCAGGGGCAGATCAGTCGATGAATTTGTACTCTATCGAAAGTTTTCAGCCATGCTATTTGATTTAAGCTTAATTTCGCTTAAATGGGATTTTTTTAGATCCGTACTTCCCTTGTAAGTTTAAAAAGTTAAATATATCTGATTGGAAATCAGATATATTTTATAAGTTCATTTTAATTATCAATCAAAGGTATCATATGAATGTAAAGACTGATTTTACTTTTTTAACGTGAATACTAATTTACTTGGTTATGCTGCCTTTTAGATATGGAATGATGTCATTAAATTAAATTATTTTTTTGAATTTGTCCTTTGCTTTAAAATATACTGTTTACCATATTAGATCTATACATTCTTTTAATTAAAAAAAATTTAAAAAGTCATGAAAAGTAAAAATTGTAACAAAAATGGCTTACCTGGTATTAATATCGGATCCAGATTTTGCAACCTATTATTGCGGTTTTAACATTTTTAACGCTCTTAAAAGAGGACAATTACAATTTCAAGCACATCTAAAGAAATTCCAACTAAACATGACTTCCTAACTAGTGAATCTTTCACTATGTGATTTTTGGGCTCAATCAACGAAAATATTTCAAGCAATTCTACGTGAATGAAGAGTTATTCCCATTTTAAATTAATTTAGAACTATTTGATTCTTGAAGGTAATAAAAAAAAAGTCTTAAAGGAAATAGACGTGGTCTCACAGAGGGTAGTTAATTAAAAGTTTCAGTAACATTTCGACATTAGTATAATATTGCTGATTGACGTTGGAACACGGAGTGAATACTTCTCCCCTGCTTCGCAGTAATGTAGAAATTGAGAGAAAAAAACAGCTGGTAGCTTTAGTTTTTGTTGCAGAACATTTTTTTAATAGAAAATAGGTGAATCAAATTGCCGTACTTTTGAACCAAAGCAATGTCATAGCTCCCACTGCTTCGCAAACTTGTTGAAGCAGAAAGGCCTTTATAAAGTGTCATGGTAGTGCAAATGTAAATACAATTTCCGCTAAGTTAGCAACTCCTCTGTTAAGGATAATTTATATCTTAATGAAAAGATGTCATTGAAATTTAAAAAAATTAATAAAATGGAGATAAAAATTAAATAGTTATTGTGCATTGCACTAAAGTACTATATGTGTTTTGTAATGACTACTCCTTACATATATGGTAAGAATCATTGATAAAAATTAATTGAAGCAATCAGAAACGTTGAGGAGAAATGTTAAAACATGTTATACATATATAGTCTTCGTCTGACTTGCTGTTGATTCATTTTGTTTTTTCTTGGGTCAGTATAATCGTTAGCTGTGATATACCGCCAATTGCTGAAACTGTTCTCGTACTGGCTACATGGTAATGCCTCCTTAGCGAGGCTGCCATGTATATCAGTGCATCCACTTGAATTTCTTTTTAATATTTTTCCTTTTTGATAGTTACGTTACTGTTTTCTGTAGTGCTTTATTATTTAATAACGTTTCAAAATGTAGTGAAAACATGGAAAAAATTACAGAACAATGAAAAAAGGGGAAAAAAGAGAAATTATAGCAAAAATAATAAGAAACCGGAAAAAATAATTAGTAAAAATCCGAAAAATAAAAGATATAATATCTTCATCAGATCACATGATTATATCCGCTAAAAGATGATTTCTTTTATTTTCCAGATTTTTATTAATTTTTTCCCTTTTTTTCGGATTTTTTTTCTTCTTCCGGTTTCTTATTATTTTTATTTTTATAATTATTTTTCTTCCCCCCTTTTTTTTCCCCACTGTTCTGTAATTTCTTCCATGTTTTCTCTACATTTTGAACTTATTTTATGAGTTCTATTTACTTGGAGCTTATGCGCAGTAAATAAAACTTATTTTTTTTCTTAATTTTCTTCGTGTTTTTTTCCTTTCTGAATATATATATTAGTAATAATTTGTCAATGTCAAATGTTCTGAAAATATCTGTTAAATATCAGTAATTTTATTGGAATTAACACTTTCTGTTGAGAAAAGTATGAGAGTTTTTTTTAAAAATTTGAAACGATTATTGCCAAATTGGATTTTTTGAAAATGTATAATTATTCCATATTAAATTAAGCATATGTTTTTTACCGATGGATTAAAGTTGCAAGTTCTGTAAATAAAATAAAAATAAAAACAAATATCAATAAAAAAACTAACATTCAACTAAATGATTAATCCACTAATTTGGCCTAAGGTACACACTCATCATTTTATTTCTTAAGAAAATATTATTTTATTATTATTTATATATTTATTAAATTTATTGTACACGAAATTTCTTATGCATCTTAATGACTGTAATCTATGCATATTGTAATGAAAATAATACCATATTTTATAAAATTTCTATGTTTGGCCTAAAATGGGTTAAGATAATAAATTCACAAGACTGTGAAATATAGAGAAAGCTACTTTATTCAATTAGTCAATTTTTTATCACAATCCTTCGGACACACTACTGCAGCTTTGTAGTAGATTTCCTTTGATCTCACCCAACTATATGAGTTGTCAAACAGCATAACATCTAAAATATAACACAACAGATAATTGCTGGTCATAGCATTTCAAAAGAGTTTATTAGACAAATTTTTAAGATAGGTCAGGAAAAGGATTTTTTTTTATTCAAGTAAAAATAAAATGATTCAAAATGGTGACTAACAAAATGTATGGTGACTAACAAAGCTGAATGAAACTTTTACACCCTCATTGTAACTTATTATTTAGATTAAAAAGTTAAAAAGACTGAAAGAAATCAGTTAAAAATTTGATCTAATAATAATTTATAACACAATTTGAACACAATTAAAGTAAAACTTGATGGTTATGATGATAACATAAACACAATTTTAAGTGGTGCGCCTCTAAAAATTTTCATTACCTTTTCTCCAAATTACTTTCAATTAACTTCAGTATAAAAAAAATATGTAAATTAATAAAGTTTGAGGAAAATTCTCGCAAATTTTTAAGCTAAATTTTTATCACAATTTAACTTTACTTAAATTACTGATGAGTATACCGTTTTTTTCCTATTTTTTAAAAAAAAAATACTTAGATTTTAGTAAGCTTGACATGACCTTAAAGTTTGTCTAATAAAGGTAAAATGTGAAATGAAAGCACTGAAAAAATTGAAAAAAAGTTTCGGATACCTTAATAACCAATACATGTAAGACAATAAAGATGGGCTGATTCAAAATGGGCAAACCACTTGTCTATATTATCCATCGTTCTATAGATATACTTCTTCAACCATTAATATTTCCCTAGAGCCGTTTATTGTTATATTGAGTAATCATGAGCACATCATTAGCAAGAAAAGAGTCCCTCACATATTCAGATTAAGTTCCTTCTTATATATGCTGTATAGAAATATTTGATTCAAAATACAGCACACGTAAAAGCCATATGCGCGTAAATGCATCCTTAATCTAAAGCCGTACTTTAATTTTGTGCACATCTAGAACGTCCCCTCAGTAGCAAATGTTTACAAGGAAAAAGAGCATGAAAAAAAATACTGAAAAAGAACCCGAAAAAAAGCTCTAGAAAAAAAGCACAGAATAAGAGCATCAGGAAAAGAAAAATTACTTTAACATTTACATGAATTTACGTCCAATTTTATTTGGCCCGTTCAGCGAATTAAGAACAAATTAAAATAATTAAATATTTAATGAAATAAAATGTATAGTAATTAATAAAATTATATATTATTTAGTAATTAATGAAGTTAGATATTTTTTCTAGAAAAATTACCAAAGTAAAAGGATTAAAGTTCATGGAATTTAACAATACCATTTATTATATTATTTAGCAATATTTTTTGGACTCTTAAGCAGCTCCATAATTTTCCTGAATTGAATATGAAAAGGGCGCCAAAAAAAATCAGATTATCCTAAATAACTTTTGATCTAATAATCGGATCTTTACGTTCTAGGACTCAATCGTAATGGTTTGAAGGGGTGATCTCAAACATGCTAATTAATAAGTGCAGATGATATTTTAAGTTAAAAAATTGAACAAGAAAACGTACTTTCACTGAACAAGTACCTCTATATAATGGTCAGAAATCCGAATCGTTCCAAAAAAGGTATATTTGTTCATTTGTGCGTTTCTGTGCCGGCAAGTTTTAAAATATTGTCTGTGTTAATTAATTAGCATATTTGAACCATTAATATTGAGTCTTATAACATAAAGATCCTATAATTATATCAAAAATTATTCAATGTGGTCCTTTTTTTCGCACTATACACCATAAGAAATTCCGAATAAAATTACAGTAAAAAGTACATACAGGTGTAATTAAACGGATTTCATGGGTAAAATGGATTCTACTGATGATGCACATAAAGTGCCGGTACTCTATACCGTAATTTGAGCCGGAAATTTTCTCAGTGTGTGAAAATTAATAAAACAGGCTTATTTTCATATTATTCAATATTCGTAAAATTTCAGAAACAGAAATAGGAAAAAGCAGATCTTGCAGATGATGGACTATATAATATTTCTAATAAGATGGATTTTATAAGATCTTCTATACTTACATGTGCCCGGTTTTTCGCACTTGTAAACTCCGGTTTCCGAGAATTCATCAGTATCTAAGCGTAATAATGGAACTAACGCATTTATTTTTTCTTTTCCTTCGTCATCCCGTTCTTTTAGAAAAAGACCAAACCCGATGTCCCTACATTTGATTTCAAATTCCCACTCAATCAGTGATCCAGGCTCTTTAACTTCAACTTCTATTTCCGAAAAAGTTGCTCTTGGCAATATCAGTTTCTTAGCATCTTTAGATTTCGCTATAGAGTTTTTGCTTTTGTGTATGCATAATTCTGCTGGTATTTTTCCACCATGATGGACCTAATAACATAAGATATTATTATCAAAAATAAACAGCATGATAAATTATAGGAACAACACGTGGTTAAACTAAACAAGCAAATAATTTGTCAGACATAATACAAATACTGTTCGTACAAGATTACCTAAATTGTCAAAGAATTTTATTTTTGTCACAAATTAAAGGTTGGTGCTACCAGCAACCATAAACAGTTACGAAATTTTTGTTTATAAGTATACCATGCATTTTTTAGAGAACGTACAGCAGAACGTACGTACTTGAACGTGTGAGATACTGTGCGAAAATGCTAAATCTCTTTATTAAGCACGAAAGTGGTAACTTTCAAGTGTCATCATTGAAGAGGACGCTGTTCCACGGGAGAAACTTTTACAGCAAATTCTCTTTCCTTTCCATAAGTTGTTTGAAATTTAACGCATATAAAAAGTAAATTCAGACAAACCTAGAGTAAGCCATTTAGTTTCAAATGTGGAAGAAAAATTCAAATTATCAAAATTGAAAGAAATTATTGGAAGAGAATTTCCCCATCGCGCAATGCTGCGTTATCCTATCATAATTTGTTTTAATTTTGATAATTCCTTTTCAGTATTTGAAATTTCATGACTTATTCTCATATATGGCAACGTTACTTTTAAAAAATAACGAGTAAAAGTACAAGTATTTTTTAAAAAAGTAACGAGTAAAAAGTTCTTACTTTAAAAAGTAACGAGTAAAATGTACAAGTAAAAGTACAAATACTAAACAAAAAAAGTAACGATTTAAAAGTACATTTCTAGGAAATCGAAAATTCAAAGTAACCTAAAATTTTATTGAATAATATTCTTATGTTCTTTAATGTTTTTGCAAAATTGTTGTTATTTATTTAATTATTTTTAATTTTGAAAGTTATGGA